CACAGGCGCAATTATAAGGCGTCTGATTATATTTCAAACAAAAATGCTTGGGTTACCTATAATGCGAAGAGATGGCGCTGCCTTGCAGCTTAAGAATGGCTAGAGGAATTTCGACGCGGTCAGTAAGGGCCGCGGTAGCATAATTGGTCAGTGCATTCGCCCGGATTGCGAAGTGTGCGGGTTCGAGTCCCGTCTGCTGCCTGGTCCGCGTGGAATTTTTCCTAGTTATATTTTCTTTACAAATGCTTGGGTTTGAACTGTTACAAACGTTCCAACATGCTGTTTCTATAATTATGATAAAGATGACATAATTTTATATTTGACATTGTAACAATATAATATTTTGTAAATATTGTTACAAGATTTGACGCTGTGAAGCTTTTTTTCGCCCGTTTTTCTCCAAGGCTAAAAATGTCACTACAGGAAGGTAGGGAAAATTAATAGACATTAATTTGCTTGTTGCATTATGCTTTCTATTTGAATCAAGATATTTTGATTGAGTGTACGTTGAAGGAGGCAGTTCCATATAAAGAAAACAGAACGGCTCGAGTTGATACGTCTGCTAAAGCACCAAAACAGAAATGGCAAGATTGATGATATTGTGAAAGCTAAATCTAAGGTTCGATGATTACATTGTTGTGTTTCTCGCTCTTTGTTTGTCTCGCTCGTTGTTGTATTTATGTCGATACCTAAAATATCTACATAGAAGTTGGCCGTGTGATTGATCTGTCCCATAAAGCACTGTCAATCTTGGTCCCTATATAATTTAGCCTTTGTCATTTACCAAAGGAGTCGGACTGACAAAGGGTGGAAATCAAATCAACAGCAGGCAGGTGATGAAAGAAGTTTCGAAGATTTAGAAATTCTCATACAAATGTAAATGATATAAAAATTATGACTACACAAAAAAAAACTGATTTAAGAAAGGTATAGAAATGCCGTGTCTTACTGTTTAAGCATAAAAAAAATGTTTTATGCGAAATAAAACTCTCACTGTCAAGTCCAATATGGACTAAAATCAAGCTATTTTTAAAGTGAAACTATCTTTAGTGGCGTTACAGTTTTTTTTGTATGAGTAAAAAATGTTAAACTCGCGTCAGGTTAAACACGTGGGCTGATCGCATCATGACACATAATAAAATGGAAAAGTTTTATTCTGACGACGAAGCCTGTAAAGGCTACGAAACGTCAATAAATAAATAAAGTTTCGTGCATTAACCCGTAAAAACTAGTTTTATTTAAGGTTGTTGATTTTCAATATATTGGACAAAACATAGCAATATTTTATTTTAGCGTATTATAATAATAAGTCTCTATCTAGGACGTCCACGTGGCAGCTTTATTGCGAAGAAAATGCATTTTTTTACAATAGATGTCGCTAGGTGCAAATAAATGTGATTTATGTAAGTTGATTTCTTTACAATAGATGTCGCTAAGTGCGCTTAAACGTGATTCATGTAAGTTGATTTTTCTGAGAGATAAACTTTTTTAATGTAATATAAACTGTCATGTTTGTGTACGATAGCGCAATAAATAAATATTGTGTTCTACCACATACATGATAGTACTTTTATACTGATAAATAAAGCAATTCATGCAAAATTATTCCCTAACCATTCCAAAATATAACAAATGCACAACGTTAATATTCAAGTTTTCACTTCTGCCGGCACACCCGGAGTGCAACCCGTCGTTATTTTTTATAATGGTAGCCATTATAGAAAAAATAGCTTTATGAAAGTAAGTTGGTTTTGGTATCGTCCTTGAAGCGCAATAAAAATACAAGAAGGTACACACTACACCATTACATACAATACACTCGTCCTATCGTGAACAAGTTGAATACAACACGCGCTATTTTTATCTATGACGCTTTGTAGGCAGACACGTCTCTCACCTATAGGGTTATCAACTTTTTTTCTATCAAATACTTAGTTTAAACCAAAAAGGATGATATGGTACGCTCATACTATAAAATATGATCCGACTCAACTACATAAGGGGGCGTCCATAAATTACGTGAGATGTTTAAGGGGGGGAGGGGGTCGAGTCAAATCTCATCTAATCTTACGTTGGAGAGAGGGGGGGTCTCGGCAAATATCACGCAATTTTTTTCTGATTGAAACAAAAAAAAAAATACTATTTTGGTCCATTTATTACAGATTGTACATGCTTAAGATTTAATCTTAAGCGTAATCGTAATACGATTAAAGATAATTCACTAATTCGTTCGAAAGAAAATAATTTCATTCATACTTCGACGTTATACATGACTGTCAAACCACCATATTTGTAACAATCCAACGCGTTTACGTAAGAAACCCACATTTTGAAAAATCTCACCTGAGATCGGGGGATGGGGGAGGGGGTTGAATTAAATCTCACGACATCTCACCAGGGAGGGAGGGAGGGACAGAAAATTCAAAAATACACCTCACGTAATTTATGGACGCCCCCTAAGCAACTCTCACACACGCACACATCTGTAAATAATATTCAATCGAGCGAGCGCGACAGAACTACGCTTCAACGCAGAGCGAGCGAAACGGCGAGTCCGCGTGGCTGAGCTGTATTGTTGTCCTTTGCCTTGATAATACAATGGCAATTACGTAAATAACATTCACGACAAACCGTGATTTTTGAGAAATAAATGATTTTACTGTTCACGAATGAGAAGTGTTGCCGAGGCATTTGTTATTTGATTTTGAACCATTTTTGTTCTTTATTTAAGCATCGAAGGCATCGTTTTATAACACAGAATATACGCAATATTGTTATATTGAGTGCAAATGCAGCGTGTTCAAATGTCCAATTGTGACTAAAGCGAATTGCGGTCGTGCACCACACTTTAAGCGGATCACTTTTGAGCCGCAAATGCCGTATCTTCTCTTTTTGTTTCAATCTAAGATCAAATATAGTATTTTCGAAGCTGTTGCCTCTAAAAATATAGTATGAGACAAGAAAATGGAAAAGAATATAGTATGAGTTTAAAATATTTACTTTATTTTTTAAAATGAGGATATTTTTGCTGCTGTTTACCTTAGTAAGCAGTTTTTATTTTTAAGAAATCTTATTCGCAAGAGTCTGCTTTAAGCAATATATAGTAGAAACTACTAAAGTCTGTGCGGAAAGAGAATGGGCGTGGCCAAAAACGGAACTAACATTAAGATTTTTATTTGGTAATCAAACCCAGCAATCTGTAAAACGTCAAAATTTTGTATTGATACGGATTTCTTTGTTGTTGTGATTTCTTGCGGTTTTTTCTATTTAATCATGTCTATAAGGGGTAAAACCTTACAAATACGGAAGAAAAGCACTACAGCGCCCTCCAATCTAAATCCCATTCTCCTTCCGCACAGGCTATATATATATTTTTTACAAATATAGTTTTTGTTCCCCTAATATAGGGTTGGCAGCCCTACTCACCTATCAAATATGTAGGTACATCATAACACGTAAACTTTATAGACAAAAATCTATATAGGTAAGTACAATAAGGTGAGTTAGTACTGTTAATAGACACAAATCTATCGATCTGTGTTATTTTTTCTATCCAACTAATCCTACTTCCTACGAATATTATAAATGTGAAAGTTTGTATGTACTACTCATATTATATTACTCATATAGCTTGCACCGAGTCATATGATACTTTTTATCCCGGAAAAATGACAGGTTCCTGTGGGATTCTCGAAAAACTAAAGTTTGACGACCTCCGTGGTCCAGTGGTTTGGACGCTGGGTTTCATGGTGTCGCCGACTCGAGAGGTCCCTGGTTCGAATCCCGGTGGGTTACCCTTGTATTCCATAACAAAAGCCTTTCAGCGCTTACTCTGCGGCTAGGCTAATTGGTGTGAGTGGTGGAAATATTTATTTTTTATTTAAAGCGAACGCAGTCGCGGGCCGTCCCTAGTTAAGCAATAATAACAGATTTTCCAATAACGTATTCAAGGATGCTTTGCCGACTATTTAGTCCGAATGGAAATATGTAATATATTAACTCAGTGTAACTGTTCGCATAAGTAGCGGCACGAAACTCTAGCGCTGGCCGTTATTGCGCAGAAGTAAAAATTAAGATGTGTTGGGGGGAAACGAGGTGCGCGGGTGGGCGTGCGTTGCGCCGATTGGCTCTCCAGTCGTACCCATACGCAGCTACCCCTGATGCGTTTTGTTCAACGCTAGAGTTACGTGCCGCGACCTGTAATATGTAAGAAACTGCAAGAAGCTTTAGGACATAAGTGGTTAGTGCTTTCGGTTTGCGATCGTGGAAGTTGAGCAACTTTCGCAATGGCTGGTCAGCGGATGAGTGACCAAAATGTATTATCTATCTAGAACCTGGGTTCCAAACCTGGGGGTAATTACCCGTCCGGGGGTAAATCAGCCTTACTTCGGGGGTAACAAAGAACCTAATTATTTGGTCAAATCTAAATAATAAGAAATATTATATAATAATACTACAAAATAGAGCATGCACTCTTTCTTGCGGGGCGAGATTTTCTCCTGATGATGACATTATTAGAGACGAATATGTAGTGGCCAAATTGGAATTTCTTGGACTGATGATAACATTTTAAAGTCGAAGTAAAATCTGTTTTTCCTAATAGGTTACAGGGGTAGCAGTATTGGAAAGGTTAGGAAACGCTGATCTAGAAGATCTAGCTCCTCCACGCTTCGGAAAGCACGTCCGGGTTGTATAAAGGCCTACGCAGACTGGGTGCTTTGTCTTGCCGCGGAACGCCGTGGCATGCCGTGGCAAAGTGCTGGAATGTCGCGGTATCTAAGAGGCAAGTGTGCGCTGCGCTGACTCACGGCAAAATCCCTTGCCATGGCGTCCCGGTCTGCGTAAGCCTTAATGCAGCCGTTAGCACCTCATGCACACTGAGCCCGCGTTGTAGGTTATGGCCCAATCTCCCTATAGGGAAGGCCTGTGCTCCAGCAGAGGGGGCATAAACAGACTGATGAAGACGATGATAAGGGTAAAAACATAAGAAAACGACTCACGTCCAACTCGAGCTCCAGCTTGTTTATCTCATCTGTGGCCGCGTTCAGCTTCTCCAACTCCACCTGGAAGTTTTTAAAGAACTTGAGACAATCGCAAGACGTGTGCGTCGCGCTCCCTCGCGCGTACGCCAGCATCAAGCAACACGTAGGGACGGGAAACATCCGCGCGCGCAATTCTTAACTAGCACACTCACTACGAAACGCCTTCACTACAACACCAAACGCTATCTAATCGTACCTAAGGCCTCGTTCGCACCAACCGGCTAAAACGCATCCCAAAACACTTTTATTTAATTTACTATCTTATCAGTTGAGTTGTTTGCACGCGAACACTGTCATGTTAAATAAACTGTTTATTTTTACTACTTATTTAAAAATGTCATTCGTTTTACACTGGAACAGTGGTATAGCAATCATGCATGCAAATATAGGGATTGTAAATGTAAAATAGCGGTTTTTTATTGATGTCTGAAATAAAATTATTATTATTAATTAATGTGGTGATTTTGAGGAAAATACATTTTCTACATGTATAGTAGTAATTATTAACGGAATTAAACGAGACAGCACCAGTTTAGAAGTTACAAATAAAGTAGAATTTATATTTATATTATAATACCATGTGACAATCTGTTTTAATTTAATATTTCATAATTATTATTGCTCCCTATAAATTATCAAAAATTTATTTCTAGATGTATAATAAAATTTTAGATAAATTTTAAGAGGAAAAACTCATCAATATTACTGATAAAATCCCGCCATTTTTGTCCTCTGCCGTCCTTTACACAACGTGGGTCCCCTGGAATGCTTCACGGTCTAAAGTATACGTTATCAGAATAAATACTAAGACCAAGTAAAGAACTGAACTACCGCAGTTATGCTCACGGCAGCGTTTTGCCGCTCGTGCGAATGAGGCCTAAATATGATTGTTTCCTGTCCCTATTATGGCGGGTGCAGACATGCTCGCGTGCTAATCGGATATGGATATAGAAAACTAGATATTATTGGACACTTCGAGCAAATTTGCATACACCATAAAGAAGCAACTCTACTCAAATACAAAATATTACTTACTTATAACTTCAGTTTCTTATCATGAAAATAACGGTCCAAGAAAACAGCCCATAAAAATGCTAAAATTACATTTTATTTCAAATTACAATGAATTTAAGAATACAGTATACGTATAGTTAGATTAGAATCATACATGCCATAAATTTTACAATACAAAAATACATTTCAATTAGTAATTCTGTAGCTTTTTTTTCTTATCAGATTATAGTGAATTTTATAAACAATAGATAATCATTTTTAATGTGTCACAATATTTGCACCTTTAATTTATTAAAAAAATAAAACACGCAAAAATAATTATTATAATTATAAAAAAAAGACTTAATTAAAAACAAACATTTTATAACTGGAATGGTCTAGTTTACATTATTTTTAATAATAAAAACTGTTATTTTATGAACACTTTAATTTTGGTTATGTTAATAACTATAAAAAGGGTAGGAATTTCAATAAATTAGGCCGACAGGCAACTGTTTTAGCTCTTAATATACATATCACTGTAAAAACTAGAAAACATTAAAATATGAGATTACTAATGAGTAAAACTTCAAATAACAAATTAGACTTGATTCTGTTGTAGTCACTTTGAAATCAATCATCTCAGTTTACTCAAGAAACGAGTTCTCAGTAAGAGAAGGCAGTGAACATGAGACATGGTAACATGTGTACACGTCGCGGCACGTAACTCTAGCGCTGAACAAAACGCGGAGGGGATAGCTGCGCATGAGTACGACTGGAGAGACAATCGGCGCAACGCACGCCAGCGTGCGCGGGCGCACCTAGTTTCCCCTCATGACATCTAAAGGACACCCGGCATTTTGTGCCAAAGTTGTACACTTTTTTAATTTTTTTAACTGTGTTTCATAATTGGGTAACGTAGTCTGGCAATATTTGTCATCAGCAGCTAGCTGTCAATGTCAAATACGTAGGTTTGTCATCAAAAGGGTTTCTATATCAAAAAATGTTAATCATTAAATGACTTCTATCCACGATTCACTAAAAATAAGGCAAAAGTAGTTTTATGTAGCAAATAATTTTGGCTTTATTTTGAGACCAAATTCAACTGTATACAAGTTTAGCATTTTTTCTATGAAAAGTGCCGGGTCTCCTTTTTACTTCTGCGCAATAACGGTCAGCGCTAGAGTTTCGTGCCGCGACTTTTACATATAAATTAAGAAAGAAATGCAGATACGAATGACCAAGCCAATACACTGAATATCAATATGCTTTAAATATATATAATGTTAAATTATACACAATTTATATCAGCTTTCTTCTTAAATAAACAGACAAGTTTGTACTCGCCCTTTAGAGTAGTAGAAAGACAGATTGTATTTATTTTAAATTTCAAGATTGTACAGCAGAATGAAGTCCATTATTAATACAATTGTAAGAAGTAACAATGAATACAAATTATCAGCACATTTTTTTATCTTGAGTTATTCTATCTAAATGCCAAATAAATGTGTATTACTATTAAAAAATGTATAAAAAGAATATTTCAAAAATGAAACCCAAATCTAAATCTTCATTAAAGAGATTCAATTCAATATTTATTCTATAAACCCTAGAAAAATATTAATAATTGCAGTTCTTGGGTTAATTATTTGTTAGAAAGTGTTAGCTGTGGCCATGCACAAGTTATGTGATGTTAACAATTATTGTACCTTATTTAGGCCCCTACATTATAAGGTAAAGTAATCTAAAGCTAAACAAGATATGGAATAACATATTTTAAATTTATTTTGTCAACAGCAAGATATGTCGCATATGAAAATGAAGAAACCGAGGTAAAGAAAAGATAAGTTTTGTTTTAAAATAAACATGATGACAAAGTAAGCAAAGCGTACCTACAGACATATAGTAAGCATTTCATTTTAATATAGTCCAGGCCAAGTAAAAGGAAACAATAGTGTATTTTTTAACTATTTATAACCAGTAATAGGGTATTTGACAAGTTTTGGAAATCAACCTCACGTAACTTACTAATGTTTATGGAGTCCATAAAATTCATAATATTCATCATTCTCTTGAGTATTTCAGTAAAAATAACTAAATCAAAAACTCAATTTTCATGTTCCCGCGAAAACGTTTCTCTGGGCAATATGGCGTCTCACTGGTATGTGACGTCACACGACTGTCATTAAAACGTCAAATGATACAATGTAATATCACTTTGACCGGAAGTTTACAGGTGTGTGACGTCATTTTAGGCTCCGCCAATCCCAGTTGTTTTCAATCACGTGACAATAGATATGAAAACTATTATCTTTTTCGTGGGTTTTTAGTAAAATTATGAATATTTTTCTGTAACAATAGTAAAAACCCCTGCCAATATTCATTCTAAACACAGTTGCTAACAATTGGCACTTTATTTTTAATACTGTCAAATACCCTATTAAAATTTATTTAGCTTGCCAGTAATAACTTAATAAGCAAGAAACTTGCTGGTATGCTTTGTCACTTATATAGAAATAGACAACACATTGAAATTCTATGAGAAACAGTTCCACCACAAATTCCAATTTATTAAACGATAGAATCGCCTTTTGTCTATCCTCAAACTATTAACAATGATAAACTCAGCAACGTTGGGCAGCGAAAGCAGTGGAGGGTGGCCCACGCCAGGCGCCATGTTTTACAATATTTATATAATATCCACTGGGATATTTTATAGCACAGAACACAAAAAGAGGTTAGAAGGGCCTTGTGTGTGTGGGGGGGGGGGGACCAAAACTTGGTTTTGATTCCGTCGTTGCTCTCGGCTGTGAGCGCTGAAAGTGGAAGTGTAGTGGGAGCGAGGCGGCGACATCGGTTCCCATACGAACGGTCTATGAATACCATTCTAACCTCTTTCTGTGTTCTGTGGTAGGTAGTACTTGATTGATCGTTGTCTGAGGCATGCGGCCATACAAAGATTTCAGAGAAGATATGAATGACATATTATTCCAGGCGCCATTGTCTCTCTCACTATGGCAAATTTTAAGAGTATCCCATTTTTCAAGAATTTAGCTAAAGATAAGAAAAAAATGTGATGTTCTTCCTGATGTTAGAATAAATATGAAAGTACAAATTAATTTCTGCCTATATAACATTAACAAGGAATCTCATGAAAACAAATATGATCCAGGTATGTAAATGGCACTTTCCTATTTGGAAATACAAGTAAATTCATGAATAATTCTAATATTAAGTGTTATAATTATTAACTTACATAACAAGAAAATTGACAAACTTATGTTGTGTAACATAATAAAAAGTATAACTTAATTTTGTGGACAGGAAACAGTCCTATAAGGTACCAAAGTCACATTTCATTGAGACATTAGGACATGAAATATAACTATGCAATCCTACATACATATTTGTATACACGCCTTAATTTACGACAATAAGTTGCTATACCTATAGATACAGGAATTCATAAGGTATTGGACCGATCAGTGCAGCTCGCTATCACATATGTATTTACCGGAAACGAAGCGTCTTTTAACAAGAGATAGGCGGTATCCGCTTCCAATAAGCTCAAACTCTATACCGGAGAGAGTGGCGCCCTCACAGTTAAATTGGGCAGATATGGTGCTCTTGTCCGAAGGCCCCTTAGCCAATTCGAAACGAGCTCTTAATGAGCCTACTCCTCTGTCCTCAGAGTGCTGGGAGAGCTCTGTGAACCTCCAGAGTGCCTGTTCATTTTCAGCATTCCACGTGTTTTGTGGCATCGCGATCACGTTCTTAACGGCTCCAGTCATGGGCACACAAACCGAGACGTTGAGCAGCGGCGAAGGCGGACTCATCGCGTGCAAGTTGTACTTATAATCCACCTTCAAGTCTGTGTGATCGCGTTCGCATTTCCAATAAGCCACCAATTGGAACGGACATGACGCCGCGCCGGCTTTCGGCCGAATCTGGTACTTCAATATGTCGACATTGAAATATTGCGCAGTCGGATTCTTTTCGGATTGCCTCTTCAGAAGAGATGTCAAAGCAGGCATGTTAAACTCAACCACTGTGGAGTCGCGCGTCGACATCAAGGCGTTGATCGAAATTAACTGTTTATTGGGCAGAACGTTATCTAACCTATGTATATTCTTCAGTCTGAAACAAAGCTTTGCAGGGTTGGGGTTATTGGCTAAGACTCCTACAATGCCAGTGGGGAAGGACAACATCATATCTCCAGACATCTTTACTTGACATTTGGATTCTTCTGTACCACGGAAATACGAATGAATAATCTCATGAAATGCTACAGCCAGAGGTATAGTATCGGCCATACCTATTGTGAGAGGGGAGGGACCGCGTGAACCAGACGAACCTGCTGTACGGAAGTCACCTTCTGACCGTCTTGACGGCGGGCGTGGCAATGATATTGTGGATATTGTAGGAGTAGAGGTTCGGATTGTCGACTGCCCCATTTCGCCTACTTCCGAGAATAAATCGCCGACGTCGGCAGTCGACACTGGAGTAGGACTTTCCAGCAGATGCGATTGATTTGTTTGTAAGGGTGCATAAGGATTTGAAATGTTACCATGAGGTGAGGTAGGGTTACTAGCAGTTGGGCTTTGAAAGAAATTAAGATCTAATAGGTCACTGCTTGCTTTACTAGTGTTAGCATTAGAGCCACGCCTGGTGGTACCTATTTTATACAAAGAAATATTCTCCACAGTTGCCCTCAATTCATCAACACTGGCAGATATTGGACCAGCACCATTGCTGATCGGTTTTATTTCTACATGTATTTTTTTGTCCCTCTCTTCATCAGAGTCAGAATCCGAAGAGGAGTAAACACTGCCCTTCTCATCTTTTGGCCTTATGCAATAGCCTTCTTCATCAACATCAGGAGAATTCATAAGATCCTCTTTTGCAACAACTTCTTCTTCTTTTTCTTCTAAATCAGACTTATCACCTGCATTTGAATTTTCAGGTCTATCATCTTTTTTCTTTTTTGACTTCTTTAATTTAGTCTTGGTTCTTCTGCTGCGAAGGAACCATTTAGACTCACGAAGATTTGTGCGCCCCATGTTGCTATCTTTATCAGGAGCTACTGGAGTGGCCGGGGTACCACTAGGGCTAGATGGCGCTGAACAAGGTGCTCCACCTTCAATGCTACCACTGGGTTCATCTTTACTTTGAAAATTTGGGGTAAACAAATTTAGGAGCGAAGTTGTCCTCCTTGAAGTTTTAGTTGCAAAAGAAGGCTCTTTTTTAGTAGCTTTAGCAGGTTGGGAGGGCTTGTGTGAGCCATTGGAAACCGTAGATATTTGATCAGCTTCAGATATGGAATTATTGGCAGAACTAGGTTTAGGCAAAGATGGAGGCAGTTCAACTAAATTGGCTTTTTCTATGGCTGTATACTTTTCTATCAGAAACTGTTCTAAGAGTTTTTCTACAGTAAGCTCTAAGCACTGATGCTTGAAGTCCCTGTGCACCTGACCTATAAGATCATGATTGTTCTGAGTTATATCAGCATATGCATTTACAAATTGTTTCATTTGCTTCAAATGTGCTTCCTCCACATCTTGAAAATGTTTACATGTTTGAGTCATTTTCTTCTCAAAATCTTGTTTAACCAAATTATATTTTTCAGCTAACTGCCTATAATCATCATGAAGTTTTTTCAATTTGACTTCAGCCTTTTCAATGTCTTTGGCTGAAGCATTATCTTTACGAAGTTTTTCTAACTCGGCTGACTTAGATGTATACACATCTTTTGCTTTTTGCAATGCTTGCTTAGTGTTTTGTATCAATAATACAACTTCTAATGTATTAGACTCTGAGTCCTTGACAGCCTTGTGCTTTTTATGTAATTCTTCAGCATAGCGTGCCACATCCTTCACTAACTCACTGACTTTTTGAAACATATCTTGGTGCAAATTCGACAGAATCTCGGCAGAGCATTTGAGGACACCCCAAAACGGAGCGAACGTACCCTGGGCACAATTGCTGTTAGCTTGCTTTGCTAATTTTGCCAATAACTTAGAATTGGATTCCTCTATATTGGATCTCTCTCTGAGGTACTCTGAAAGCTCTTTGCTGGCAATGAGTCCGTATTTCATGTTTTGGTACAGAATATCGTATCCATTATGCTCGTTGGCGAAATAATCGACAAAGTTGACACTCATTTTTGCAGTTACAAGATACGGTTACAGTTATTCAATACATTATATTGTCACTCACTGACCTGTATTCTAGGATCGAGCTCAGTATCACCATTGTCGTCGGCGGGTATCGTAAACGAGGATTCCTCCATTGTAGAGGTAGGACTAGGAAGCCACCCAATCACCTAAATTACATCACCGACACAAAAGCGTATAGCGTCACAATCACTATGAATTCTAAATTAATATCATTTTAGTATCACAACACAATTTTCTTTAGTTTAACTACTAATTAATTACTTTTGTTACGAAAACGCAGAGGTCCTACGAAGTTTTTCCAAATTTAAAAAAAGAAATAGTCTCTCTCCTCTCATTCAATAAAGATGACGTCCGCTTTCATTTCATTGTCATGCATGACGTCAAATCATAATAATAGACAAAATTTATATATTTTTAAATTCATTTGTACAAAATTGAACATTCATTGTATTATACATTGAATGTTCAATTACATTGATGTCCGATACGTATCTTCGAATCAAATGTACATTATTTACATTGCTTTGATTAGAAGAATTTGTGTTATCAAGTTCTAGTACAAGATCCTAAGACCAGACCTTACTTATTTTCTGATGGGCAAAATATGGATAAACAAATAGTATTAGTACGTAAAATTAACGTAAATATATATGGTAACTTGGGCTGTGGGCCAATTTCCGATGTGAAGATAGACAGAGTACCCATCGCAAGTGTTCCAAAAATTTAATTGTGATGAGTGTGTATCGGTGTTTGATTGGAGTGATAGTGTAATTTTGTAAATGCTTTAAATTCAGGATACTATAACACAAACTGAATATTATAAGCACAATTGTTTTCTTAGTTTCAGAGAATTTCATAATACACTTTAAGGCTAAAGGCTTGACCGGACGCTGGTGGCTCTTACTTTATTATAACAAAGTTACATCACGTTGCGTCTCTTTCTACTTTGTGGGATTGTTGTAAGGGCATGATATCTCTTTTCTTCACTCTGTCAGTCTTTTTATACTAAGTCTATGTAGGCACGTAAATTTCTTACTCACTTTACATACAGTCTGAGGACTGATTCTTATAGTATGTTGAAGAGAATATTGTAAAAAAATTAAAACGATTACTGCCAGACATTAGGATAATAGATATAAAGAAAATGAAAATTCAATAAAACGTAGTTCGTTGGTGGTCAGCAAAATTCTTGTACCTTGCTACCATGTAAGGTAAGTAAGGTAAGTAAGGTTTTTGCTAGTCCCCGAGATGGAAGAAGACAGAAGATTCAGGTGCGATATGACGGTTCGCCTAATAATTCCATTTGCCGCAAGCCTACACAAACTGACCGCTATCTTAACGCATCATCGCATCACTACACTAGACATCTGAACTCTGTCTTAGTGACAACATTGACCAACCGTGAATATGACTTATGTGATGAGGAACACATACACGAAGATTTGAAACATGTATGAAATATCTTACAGAGAAATGGATATAAGTAACAGATTCCACCTAGATACAGATCAGTACACTCAGTACACCAGGCAAATTGAGTAGACAGACAACCGGTATTGTGCCATATGTTAAAGGAGTGACTAACAAGATCTCAAACATACTAAATAAGTACTCATCAAACACTGTCTTCACTCCTTTAAGAAAAGTGTTATAGTACCTACGTTCTCTCGAAGAAAACTTCCCCTTTGAGAAACCTGGTCTGCAAGATCGATTGCATCTGTGGTAGTTTGAACATTGGGCAAACAAAACAAACAAAAGCATGCCCAATGAGGGAACAGATGTAAGCAATAAAAACAACGATACGCGAAAATCCATCGCGGAACATTTGATAGATTCTGGCCCCAACTACTGGATCAAGTTCCATAACCCTCAAATAATCGTGACAGAACTACACATCAAGATTACTCAGGAAGGCGATTGAAATAACCAAACATAAGAATTTAAATCGTGAGGACGGGTTTAAGCTGTCAAGTGTCTGGAATCCAGTAGTTCGTACGTGTAAAAATCAGAAAAATCAAAACAGTGTCTTTTCTCGATCAGATACTGTGAGTGTTGTGTGTTGAGATTTGGTAGGATAAAATAGTGAGAACGTGAAGAGTAGTACAGGTATCGAGCGCAATAAGACTTCACGAGAGGATAGACCGACATGTCTGCAAATAACATCCTACTCGCAATTACTTCAGTTATTCCGTGATCATGGCGCTTCCAACAGTGCCGAAATATCGGGGACTAACAAAAAACGAAATACATGATAGCAATCCCGTTAATAACAAAAATATTGTAGTGTTAGTGACCATACAAGTTTTAAACAATACATGACGACTGATGACTGTCTAGTAAACATTTTAATAGTTCGATGGTAAGCCAGAGCCCGGGAGCTTCTAATGAATTAAAAATGCATTTGTTTAGTTGGTCACTTCATCTACATTTTTTACAGTTAAGCAGAGTAACAACGTGATCTTAAATTAAGAAGTTTAAGTCACCCATAACTGTCTTCTTACCCGCCAAAATTGCTCACTATCTGTATCATTTATTATTATTGTTGTAAGCAATGCTGTTCGGGAATAGGTAGTTAATGGATTATTTTTTAGTGCGATGAAATTGCAATCATTTTACTGATATGCAAGTCAATTACAGTACAAATAAGCTTTGCGCATGCATGTCGTAAATAGTCAATTGTGGATGATGGATGGATGGATGTGGATAATTTATTTGATAATTAATAACTCTATATTTTTTTCCACTATTTTTTCTGATATTTTAATAATTATTCTGTTATTCGAGTCCAATAAATCTGATCTCATAAAAATTTGTCCTGCCGTTCTTGAGTTAAAGTGGTTAAACAAATACGACTTTGTTCTATAAATACAGATATACATAAGTAAGAAAAGGATGCACACTGATGATTGAACGATTATTTTGTAAGATTTGTTTCTAAAAACAAGTATTATATCATGGGTTTTTATTGCTGTTAAAGTAATTTTTGGCACGAACACAACTGAGTCACTTCGTGAATGACATTAAATTAATACCTATATCTTATATTAATAATGATTTCACAAAAACCTTAAAATATTATTTTTAATGATCAATTATTCAATAGAGTGTATGTTAATATCAATGTTCAATTGGTTAATCGGATCCGCAATCAATTAGCATCTCTATTGGTATTTTTTTTGTTTAGATTCCTTTGTATTGTCTATGAAATTATACTATCAAATAATATGGCTTTTTCAGTTCGGTCAATATTCTTGTATCTCTTTTACTCTTTTGTGGAACGCCTATCTCTATTTCCGTCAATGTGAGATAAATTGTCGTATCTAAATAAGTTGGATAATATGATGCTTTTGTGCATTTTGACGTAAATCAGCTTTGGCTTGCTCCGAGATCGTTCTTCTGATTAGAGTGAATTGTAAAAAGAATATTTTATGAGTAATACAACTAGCATTTGCTACCGGTTACTGAAAGTCTTGGCTTTCTTTTGTTGGCCAAAGATTTTTATCTGAGGGGGCGATTTTAGTCAATCTGTATGCAACTGTTACGCGTTGCCTCGACTATGTCTTACCAAGGATCACCATATTCGGGGCGAGGAGATGATTATGACTTTGAAGACGATGGGTACGACGACTTGGACGAGTATAGGGAGCAAGAAGACGTTCTTCCACCGCCTCCAGTTGACGATAGCGATGAAGGTATGTTGTGTTTACGGACATCGTTTTTCAAGCTGTTTTGGCTTGGCATTTTGGTCATTATCAATTTAACCTTTATGTATCGTTGTCATTTATCTTTACAAATAGTTAAGCAAAACTTGTGCAGTTGTATTTTAGGTTATATTTATAAGGTGTTATTGTTTCCCGCCTATTTCAGCACCAACCTGATTGGTGACGTAATTTAATATGTGGGGCACTTTCACCTTGTTTTTTTCGTTCAATTTGGGACTTTGATAGTTTATTTGTCCAGGGCCTATATGCCTTGTTCATTGTTTTGTCAATTTTAATGTTTTTCCCTTATCTTTCTTTTCAGACACAGAAGAAGCCAGTGAAACAGACATTCCCAAAAATGATGAGCCTCTCGAAGTCAAAGAACAGTAAGTAGATCAAATTTTATTTGCAAAACTGTCCAGTCATTATTTAATATATGTATACACCTTGACAGTTGACTACTTCACTGTAATGAGAACAAGGCACTCAATATTATGTGAATTTTGTATGTTTACAAGTTTTTATACTAAGGGCTGAGCTTACTCCAGGACAGCTTAAACTTAACATACACTTTGCATACTTAAATCATGTATTAATTGCTAATGTTAGTGTGATATTAGCACAAGCATTTGTGCCAGATTTATAGCTATACCCTGAAGTACCTAATTCTGTACTACTATATAACTGCTATAATTTACAATAGGATCCATGGCCTAGCTAAGATATAAATTGTATTAATTGTTATTTTGTTTTACATTGTATTATACTAATATATCAAATTCTGCTTCAGTTTGTTCCTGTCACAATTTTTTTTCATTACTGTAAAACAAAGAACTCTAGATGCGATCTAGTATCTGCCATAAATACAGGCTGAGACCAAAGATAAAAGTTTGTTTGTTAATACTATTTATAATTTCTGACAATCAAATAATTTACATTAATGGTTAATAAGTAACATTTTTAGTAGGGGTGTTGAATTATAAATGAATATTGTTGATTATCATTAATCACAGGATGTACCAGGACAAACTTGCAAACCTCAAGAAGCAGCTGCAGCAGCTTGAAGATGGCATCCACACAGAGTACTTGCGGAGGGTGAAGCGATTGGAACACCAGTTACATGAGAGGCTTCGGCTCAATAAGATATACAAGTATGTGTACAAGACAATATCAGTAAATGATTTCCTCTTCTATATTTCCATATATCGCTCTTAGTTCTGAAGCTATGATCTTGAGATATTGTTTTCATACAAAAAAAAATATGTCAAGATATTCAAGGTTCATATTCATAGGTATTCAAGATCAGTCTTAGATTGTGGCCAGTCAAATGTATAAATCAAAGAGTTTTATATATTTTTTTCATACATTTTTAGTCCATCACCAAATATTTTGATTATTTACATAACAATATATCTGCTATATTAAATATTTTGAAGGCCATAAAGTTGTCAGTTAATGTAGTAAGTAACATTATTCTGTCCTAATTATCCCAGTAATGCAGCTGATACTGACATAATTCTCCAAACTTGAAATTAAATTTGACAACAGCGTATCCTTGTCATGCTCTGTAAAGAATGAAAAGAAGACTTGTCAAATTAAGTTTATAATTTTAAGAGTTGTAGCTCACAATCTCATTTATTATCATCAATATTTTTCCAGAGATCATATGTTTGATGTTGTGGAGAGGGAATATGCAGCTGAGAAGAAAGCTGCAGCAAAAGAGTTTGAAGAGAAGAAGATCGAGTTGAGGGAGAATTTGCTCAATGATTTTGAGGACAAGAGGAAGATGATAGAAAATGAAAGGCATAGTATGGAGCTCAATGGAGATTCTATGGAGGTAAATGTTATTATATTTTTTGATTTCGTTTTGATTGAATATTAAACCTATAGAAAAAATCTACTTCTCCAGGTTATAAGTGTATTAATTTATATATATATAAATTAAATTATAAGGTAATTAATTTTAAGTGTTCAGGGGTCTACAATATAAGGGTGATTCTCAGTTAAGAGGTATGTTTGACGGCTAAGCCAAAAAAATCATTATATTTGGAAATTATGGTCTAAAATCTTAATAATTTCAATTATCTAAATGTGTTCTAAATTGTCACTTAAAATTATATTCTAAATGTGCATAATTTACTTCCAATAACAGCACAAAGAGGAAAAACATCTCTCCCCTGGGTTGTCCCCTAACCGTTTTTTTTGTAAATCAGTAATTTTGAGTCCATTGCAATTTAATTATTACTTTTCTATCAGTAATAACATGAACCCTGATAACTTAGTTACAGTATGTAACCATTAAATTCATTTATATTTGCACTTTTTATAAAAAATATTAATCGCAAACTGTGTCCTCCGAGTTTCGTGTCTCGCCCCCTGGCCTTAGGTTTAGTTTGAAAATCGTATTTGTTTACCATAGTCTGTGGTAGTTTTGACCTTGAAGACACCGAGTGTCACGTGAAGTTAGCAGCAAGCGCTGTACAAGCCATCCGCGCGGCAATTTTTTTGGCCATTTGCGCAACGGTGTTCGATGTGTGCAGCCGTGTTGAGTGATCGAAGTATTTACCCTGGTAATTTCTTTTTCGTATTTATGTGTTTAAATACTACAATATCTATATACATTTATTTTAAATAGTGCTGCAAACCTTTTATTTATTTGTAATCTTTGTAAAATTAGTAGTTTTACGGCAATTCTAGATTTTTAACGGAAATGTCTCGCCCCTGCCATATTTCCCCTGGCTGTTATGGTGCCAGGCTACTAACAAAACTATAAAAACGATGCAATAGCTCAATAACAGTAATGATTATTAATTAGAGAATGTACAATTGCATATAATTTTAGATAATTGTTTAGCTTTATATCGTTATTCCACTAAAATCTGATTGCATGGATAAGTACTTTACATCCTAAGATGCGCTTAGCGCATTGCAATAAAGTTCATCCTGTCTCTACCCTGTACTCAGTATCTCCCCTGGTGTCTCGTAAAACGAGAATAAATTGAAAAAATGACTGATCATCTTAAAATCATATTAAAATCATCTGTCTTGATAAAAGTAGTGGTAAAGTTATATAAATATCGACACTTTTTGCTATACCACTGCTTCCATACAACCAATTACCTCTTAACTGAGAATCACCCATAAATTTTGATATTTTAAACCTATTTTTCTGGACTACCTTCATAAATATTATATTCTTGAATATGATTTGTTTACGTAGTTATCAGGTATATGACAAATAAATAAATATAGATATTGAAAATCTCAAAATTGCCATTAACTTTGTATCAATATGCAGCAGAAAAGTTATAAAGATATGTTCTACAATATCTTTATAAGCTTAGGATACACAGCACAAGGTGAATAGCCCAATTCTTTTAAGGCTTTGTTATCACACTAATATTATAAAGGGGATATATATATATAGCTAATTAAACAACCACAACTTAGGAAAGGAATTAATTTTCAATCTCATTGCACAAATACACGAGATTGGAACCTTTGAAGCAGGCCTTCTACCAACTGAGGCTCAAGCACGAATTTTGTCAGCTCCGCAATCGCGTCGCATCGTCAAAGTTTCTATAAAAACTAAGCAACACCCCTACCGGACGGATCAAAAAATGACTACTTCCATATAAAATTGGATGATGAAAATACCATCACCGACACAGAACGTAGAGGTTAGAAGGACCTTGTGGGCGGAGCACGCACGCCACAGTTATGTATGAGCAAACGCTCATAACTTGACTAAAACTTGGTTCGTTGCATTGTTGCTCTCGGGTGTGAGCGTTTTATTGGCTATTATCTATTAGGTGGAAGTGTAATGGGGACGAGCCGGCGACATCGGTTCCCGTACAATCGGTTTACGATCACTCTTTTTACCTCTGTTGCTGTCAATATTAGTGCTTGAGCCTCAGTTGATAGAATGGCTGCTTGAAAGGTTCTAAACTTGTGTGTTTGAGTGATAAGCTTGAAAATTAGTTCCCTTCCTAAGTTCCCGTTTGTTTATAATATAAATTTCCCATCCGTAACACTGGCTTCGCATCCTATTCCTTCACAGTACATGCCGTGCGCCTGTGGATTTCTCTGCCAGCAGGAATTAGAGAATCAAGTTCTGTCTCGGTGTTCAAAAACCGTGTAAAGGAACATTATTTATCTTCATGCGCTTACGTTTTCCATTGTTTCTTTTTTCTTCTTTTCTTCCATAATATATGTATACATGTATTTTTATAAGTATTAGTACATTTTATATGTGCATGTCCCCTATTCATAAGTATTTAAAGTGTATATTTATACACACTGACAGCCTATTCAATTTCTTTTAAAAAAATATATTTGGAATCTGTCTATTTGTATTTGAGTGTACATCATCATCATCATCAGCCTATTAATGTCCCCACTGCCGGGGCACAGGCTTTTCCTATGGATGGAATAGGGAGATTGGGCCATGACCCACCACGCGGGCCCAGTGCGGATTGGTGGGTGCTAACGACTGCAGATGCAGCCGGGACCAACGGCTTAACGTGCCTTCCGAAGCACGGACGAACTCGAGATAGAAGATTTTTGGTCACCCATCCAATGTCCGACCAGTGCGAAAGTTGCTTAACTTCAACGATTGCAGTCGAACGCGCTAACCACCTGCGCCATCGAGCTATGAATAAATAAATAAATAAATTTATTAATCTACAAATTATTTCTTTTCAGGTGAAACCAGTAATGAAGCGTATACTCAGAAGGCGGGCGAATGAACCCGCCCCAGCTCCAGAGAAGCGACGCAAACCCTTAGCAACTACCCTCACGTATCAACTGGACGAGCGCGATGTAGAATCCGATCTGCGCGCCATCTCTCGGCACACGTCGCCAAGACATCATTCAACCACACACAGTACGGCGCACAACACGTCCCACAATACGGCGACGCACAATCCGCCGACCCACAATCCTCCTAGAAAACATCACAATTCTACTAACAGCTGTAAGTATATCATCAGTAAAAAACATAGCCACAAGTTATACAGGAAACATCACAATAAGGGTTTTTTTGGAATGACGGCCTCATCCGTCAAATCACGTATGTCGTCATAGTCTATGAATCAATTTAAATGCTCGTTCGATCAATTAATGCCAAAAACTTCATACAGAAGACCTCTAGTCACAGCGGCGCCATCTGGTAACAAATTTTCTTAAACCTCATCTACCAACAGTTGTAAGTATATCATCATTAGCAATAAACAGCTCCTAGCTACTATTCTTACGTATTAACTTCACGAGTGCGATGTAGAATCAGATCTGCACGCCATCTCTCGGCACACGTCGCCAAGACTAATCATTCAAATGCTCGTTCGATTAATTAGCTTCAAAAACTTCATACAAAAGATCTCTTGTCTCAGTGGCGTCATCTTGCTAAATTCCCATTTTATCACCAGCTGTATCATTATAATCAGCAATAAACATGGCCCCTAGCTACTAGCTCCGATGTAGAATCGGATCTGCGCGCCATCTCTCGGCACACGTCGCCAATACATCACTGTACCACACACGATACAACGCATTAATTAAAAGAAAAAAAAATACTCGTCCCACAATATCCTCAAAATAGCTAGTTTATAGTGTGGAGGGGAGTACTTGATTTTCGTCACGTAGTAAAATTTTCTTCTTGTCACTATGTTTTTACTTGTAATTGGCGTCTCGTGGCAAGCGCCGTATCAATAAAAACAAATATGTATAAGCAAAATTAATTTTATTTTTGTTTCGCTTTCTGTGTGAAAAAAAATGATTTAAAACCAACTTTGGGTGTATTCCGTAATATACATCAGTATACTGGCCAATGGTAATGACGTCACGAATCCGACGCCATATCGTACTGCTATGCTACCATATTTTTACCGAGAAAATGAATATGACGTTTGACCGAGCGTGCGTGAGATGCATTCGAATTTTATTTCTTTTTTATTAAAATTTAAGGACCAATAATGGCATCCGAACAAAAAGAATTCCTTTTAATTGATGAGATGAATAAAAAATCTTCTTTATTCGCACTATTTTTAATATTTCGTCGATTTATGACGTCAGTGCACTGGCAACTATATTTCGGAACAATTCACCAGTATAGCGTCGATTCATGACGTCGTTAGTACCGGCCAGTATACCGGTATGTATTACGGAATACACCCTTTATGAGTTAGGAGGGGGAGAGGGGGGTCTTGACATATACTACGGGTGGTTATCGAGAGGTGGGAGGGATAAAATTAGGGATTGCCATTCACACTTTCCATGCCCGCCCAGTGCGGGTTGGTGGTTGTTTTACGACTGCAGATGCATCCGGGAACCGCTTAATGTCGTCCGTAACACGCTGAAGTTCTGACCATTCATCTAATGACTAGCCATTGCGAAGTTGCGTCATTTTATTATTCAGTTTTTCGTTTTAATTTTCCGATGGATTCGAAGAGCTTCCGTCTGCAACAACTTGCTTAAGCCGTTGGTCCCGGCTGCATCTGCAGTCGTTAACACCCGCCAATCCGCACTGGGCCCGCATGGAGGGTCATGGCCCAATCTCCCTATTCCATCCATAGAGAAGGCCTGTGCCCTATCAGTGGGGACGTTAATAGTCATGAAAGATGTATGAAAGAGTTTGACGTTTGGAGACCACTACTTGAAGTTACTGCCTCTGCAAACGACCATTTCTAGCTTTGACCACGTCTGCTTAAGACAACCTCGTAAAATGACTGCTTCTGGATTCGACCATTTCGTGTTTCGTAGCTTTCAGTACATTGTGCAAAAGGATAAAAAAAAGTAATATTTTATGACAATCTATGAAGTTATATGACTGATAACATGATTATTATTATATTACGAGTGTAAAAGATGATTCCATTTTATAGTTTACTTCTTGTTGAGTTATACTACGTTCACAGGAAGACTAAAAAAAGTTGCGTATTTTTGTATACTGTACTTATAGTTGTCAAAAGCGGAAATGGGTTTTATAAGAAGTGGTTATTGGTCGAATTCAGAAGAGGTCATAACTAGAAAAAGACCAATGAAAATCTGGTCCTTAAAGATCAACTCATATGCAGATCTGTCTTTCCCAGTGTGCACTTTGGGCAAGTGCCCAGGGCTCCACGATCGATAGGCCCCTTCAGATCAAATACAAAGTCCCTAGTTCCTGTTAAATTACCAAACGGAAGTCATAGGGGCCCTATTATCCTAATATGCCCAGGTCTCAGGTCAGGTCCAATAGGTCAAAGACGGCACTGCTCATATGTATGTATTTAAAAATTGTTTGTTATCCTCATTAAGTAAAAAAATGTTGTATGCAGGCGATTCCCCAATACGCGAGAGCGGCGACACAGTGGAGACTCGCGTAGAAGACGGCAAGCTTTTATTCGAGCGACGCTGGTTCCATCGCGGCCAGAGCGTCTACGTGGAGGGGAGAGACTTAACACGATTCCCTGGACACATCCACGCCATCACCGACGAGGCGGTCAGTATATAGCCATACACTTCTATAGGTAGACTGGAGGGGAGAGATCTGACTAGATTCCCCGGACAAATTCACGCCATCACCGACGAGGCGGTCAGTATATAACCATATACTTCTATAGGCAGACTGGAGGGGAGAGATCTGACTAGAATCCCTGGTCACATCCACGCCATCACCGACGAGGCGGTCAGTATATAACCATACACTGCAATCTATTACCTTGGTATCCCATAGTAACCCAAATCACAAGCGTTATCTTAGGGGTCCTTAAAGTGGACCAATGAGCGGTTAATCCAGCTAGCCCACCTCCCTCCAGAAGCAGATCAGTTTTTCTAGTCTCCTCAGGGCATCTGCAAGGGATCCCGGTTTACCCAGAGGCTCCCCGCGGATCTGGGTGCAATCAAGGAGCATCCGTGTCACCGTTTCTTCAGCCTTCATGCATACTCTGCATAAGGAACTTTTAGTAATACCTAGGGTGTGAAGGGGTTTGATCAGTGGGCAATGCCACCAGTCTCAGGCTACCATACACTTTTATAGGCAGACGTGGAGGGGAGATACTTAACACGATTCTTCGGACACTTTCACGCCACCACCGACGTGGCGGTCAGTATACAAGGTGTTACAAAAATACAAATAAAGCTTGAAGGGCGTTGAAGTACATCATATAAGGAGTTTTCTCTAAATTTCTTAAAATATTTGCATGAAGTTTAAACTTTTTATAAAAACAGTTATTTTTAATGATCCTCGAACTAGTGTCGTGTCTTAAAATGATCGATATTTTTATTATTCGTTAAAAACAACTGCACATCATATAAGGAGTCTTCTCTAATTTTATTAAATTAGAGAAGACTCCTTATATGATGTACTTCGATGCCCTTCAAGCTTTATTTGTATTTTTGTAACACCCTGTATAACCATACACTTCTATAGGCAGACTGGAGGGGAGAGATCTGACTAGATTCCCCGGACACATCCACGTCATCACCGACGAGGCGTTCAGTATATAACCATACATTTCCATAGGCAGACTAGAGGGGCGAGATCTGACTAGATTCCCCGGACACATCCACGCCATCACTGACGAGGCGGTCAGTATATAACCATACACTTCTATAGGCAGACTGGAGGGGAGAGATCTGACTAGATTCCCCGGACACATCCACGCCATCACCGACGAGGCGGTCAGTATATAACCATACACTTCCATAGGCAGACTAGATGGGAGAGATCTGATTAGATTCCCCGGGCACATCCACGCCATCACCGACGAGGCGTTCAGTATATAACCATACACTTCCATAGGCAGACTGGAGGGGAGAGTTCTAACCAATTAACCTAGTCTCCAAATGCACGCCACTCAGATCGATCTTGGGCTACTTGCATCCAGCTCCTGCCAGCCACCATGCGCAAATCGTCACTCCATCGTGCCTGAGGACGTCCTACACTACGTTTGCCTAGACGCGGTCTCCACTCCAGAACTCGTCTACCCCAACGGTTATCGGTTCTTCGGCAAATATGGCCAGCCCACTGCCACTTCAGCTTGCTAATCCGGTGGGCTATGTCGATTACTCTGTTTCTCTGTCGGATTACTTCTTTTCCGATAAGAGAAACGCCGAGCATAGCTCTTCCCATAGCGCTCCGGGCGACTTTGAACCTGTGGACCAGCCGTACCGTCAGTGTCCACGTCTCGGCTCCGTATGTCATCACAGATCATTATGCATTTGGAGAGACCTATGTCCAGCAGTGGACTAAGATAAGAGAAGAAGATTTTTGGTCACCCATCCTATGATCCGCCACTGAGAAGGTTGCTTGATTATGACCAGACCACACCACGTTTTAACCATTTGCGCCATCGAGCTCTTTAAATTAGTAGCCTTTATTGTCTCTAGAATGTAAGTAATGTTTGTCATGAACTATTTCTTTGAATTTAGGAGGGCTGGACTAGATAATTTATCAGGATAATAAATAACCTTGTTAATTATTATTGATAACAACATGTTACTATGATAGGAAGCACACTGCCAGATGAAGGCTTTAAGTACCAAAACATAAATACAGTTTCTAACTCAGATGACGAGGCTGATATCCTTTTGACTTAATTGGTAAAAAAATAGCGACAAAAATAAATTCTAAAAGGCAGAATACAGGCAATAAGAATAATAGTATGATTAAGAAAAAAAAACGTTAATGACATAGTTTTTAAATACCAAATATTAATTTCAAATGCGATTTTATCATGCGTTAGTGAAAATAATACCTCTAAATACAAAAATACTTTCATTTATATATATAAATTATTTACTTTATCATAATATTAAACACGATTAAACGGGTTCAAAATGTGTCTTTATATTCCTTTTTTGACGTTTCGCATCCTTTTTAGAATCATGTTTTTTTACTTTTGACGAGCTACCTTCGTATATCGAAAAACTTTTATTAAATAAATAAATATTTCCAACACTCACACCAATTAGCCTAGCCCCAAAGTAAACACTGTAGGCTTGTGTAATGAGATACTAGGGTAACTGAAAGAATACATAAACTGATACATATATAAGTATATTTATATAGAAATACATATTAAACATTCATGACTGGAGTACAAATGCTCGTATTTATCACACAAACTGCCCCTGCTGCATCACACAAAACACCGGAATTCGAATCCGGGACCTCTCGAGATGGCCACACCTTGAAACTCGGCGTATAAACCACTCGGCCACGGAGGTCGTCATTGAACGTTCGGATACTTCATTGAAAGATTATTGAAATTTTGTTGTCAATGTTTCATACATTCGCTAATTTAAATAAAACAAACTGCTTCATTTAATCCTCTTTTTATTTTGTACTAGTGGCCCGCCCTCGCTTCGCTTCGGTGTACAGCTGTAGTGTAAACTATAGTTTTTGTTCTCAGGCTTGTGCTATAAAGAATGACTTTATTTATATAATTACACATGTTATTGTGAGTCAACCATAAAAGATAGACATATGCTGTTGCGGGATAATTTTTAGACAATTTTATGTAGAATATTTCCGTCATACATGATTTCTATGTAACTTTAACCATTAAGGCTGCACCCGCGACGGAAGCTTATAAAATGGAGTAACTTCTCCCGTTTTCCCAACATTTCCCTTCACTACTCTGCTGCTATTGATTGTAGCGTGATGAAAAGTATACTATAACCTGCCCAGGAGTATGAAGAATAATTGTACCAAGTTTCGTTAAAATCCGTCGAGTAGTTTTTGTTTCTATAAGGAACATACACACAGACAGACAGACAGACAGACAGACAAAAAATTTACTGATTGCATTTTTGGCATCAGTATCGATCACTAATCACCCCCTGATAGTTATTTTAAAAATATATTTCATGTACAGAATTGACATCTCTACAGATTTATTATAAGTATAGATTTAATGATTGTCTTGACACGCCCTGAGACAAGATGGATGATGATATTCGCAGGCTGACTGGAGTGGGCTGGATGAGAGTAGCACAAAATCGGGAGCAGTGGCGTGCATTAGGGGAGACCTATGTCCAGCAGTGGACGAACATGGGTTGATGATGATGATTGTCTTGATAATTCGCAACCCTGGTTGAATTTGCAATGCATTGTTCCAGATATGGGTGAAACGACAGAACTTGGAGCGGTTCAGGATATACATATCGCAGCTGGCGCGGGGTAAAGTGACGCTGAAGAGGCGAGCCTCTTAATGGTTAAGTTGCTTCCTGCCTCCTATTGTAAATACTATCTAGAGTAAGTGTTGACGCGCGGATTTGTTCTGTACACGATACGATATTAGACACCCTAGATGCAACTTAACGATAACTGTCCTACTGTCAGTTTCTATATAAATCAATATCCAGTTAAAGTTAAGGATAATCTGACACCGTTGCTTAGCAACTGTTGTTATTATAGTTAATGTTACGTGTCGGGATGGGGTTCGAAATTATATGCCATAATGTTCTTTTTTTAACACACAATACTACACTCACTGGACACTATACAAGTCTTTAAGCAATTGCACTTGGATCGCCTTTGTATTCGTTCCGAAATCGCTGTTGAAACTCAACTGTTATCGTTTTGAAAGTCAAAAAACTGCGCAGCGCCGAACGTGCTTATTATGCACCAATCGACCAATTTCTGAAACGTCCAGTTCAATTGAGAGTTGGCTTGTTTGTACTTGTAGGCATTTAATTATTACAAATAAAAAAGAATTTGCTGCTGTTGAATTAATAGACATGGATTTGATACTTGCCCAAAAAAAGACACTACTTACTATATGTATTATTTCCCATTTTTCACTGTGCCACGGTAATATTATCTATACAGTATTCTATCTTCATACAAACGGTCGGAAAGCGAGTCATACCAACGCCACTCGAGTTCACGGGACTCTCGGGGGACACCCAGTCGCGAATGCGCCGCAGCGATGACCTAACGGTGTGAATGGTTTTTTATGCAGTTAGCCGTGCTTAAACGTGCGATTTGAATTGTAAATATTTGATTAAATTAAGGAGATACCTACATAATTTAATATGGCAAAGAACAATAGACGATATTGTGCTGTTCTTGGTTGCTTGAACTCTTCAATAACGCACCCAGAGATACTATAGAATATTTTTTTATATACCTATCTACTAGTACGTAATTTGTTTTTAATATTTAGGTATTTCGATTTTTCCATCGGGCAAAATATCTGGAATAATATATAAATAAGTGGATAGGGTGAAAAAAGAGACAAACGAGTAATCTACCTACACTCGCGTTAAAAACAAAACTACATAATAGGTAGGTAGTTTCCTAGACTAGGCTATCTACTTACTTAACTACATACATTATTGAATAACAAAATTACATACATTATTGAATTAGATGATTTTTTTTTATTAATTATTAGGTACCTACAAATGACATGAATTTAATTGAACACTTCCTAATTCATTCACAACATTTTTTTACATATAAAATAAAATATTTACAATCACAAAACAAGAAAGAAATTTGTTTCTTAGATTAACAAGAAAGAAACTCAATTATGTAGATGAAATTAAAATACTGTAGGCGGACAGCCCTACCGCATGTTAACGCCCCGCTCGGCCGTAGGCAGTTATTTCAAGGACAGGGCCGAGTTACAATACTGTATAGATAATATTACCGTGACTGTGCTCGTCGGCATATTGATTATTTTGATTGTCAGAGTGAGACTATGAAGTAGCTTGAAAACGCTACTTGATTGTGACACATTATAAGCTCTGGTGGTGCATCTTAGTGTTTATAATATCGTTGCCTGTACACGTAGTACAAACGCTAGAGTGTGAGAGTAGATGGAAGACAGAGCGAGAGGTAAGTTTAGTTGTAAAGTCTCCGTTTTCTACACAAATAGAATGATTTATAATGGATTTTTGAGCTAATGAAATCATTAAATATACCAAGGTGATTTTTAAAACTGTGATTTTTCTATGCTATTGTTTATTTTGTATTGTTGAGAGCTTAATGCTTGCACTCCCTTGTTTATTCGTGTTTGCTATTTGTAATCTTCACATACGTCAGTCTGCCCTTTTCATTCCTTATAAAGCATGATAAGGACAGACTGTTGTCAAGTTTACAAATAGCAAATACAAATAGCCAAGTGATACGGCTTAATACGAGAGTTGTGAACTGCGTTTTTACTGATAGCAGCTGTTTAATGGCAAAAGTGACGTAAGCCACATACAACACAGCTCACTAAAAGTCGAAATATGTGAGCCTTTTCGATAGAAGCTTAGTGAGTCTTTGAGAACACTAATTAGTTTTTGAATTAGTCAAAACTATAGTTTTTTTGAGAATTATGGTCGCGCAGACGAGGGATTTTTAAGCGCCGAGGACAAAAGTCCCTGATTCGTGAAAAAAATGTCCGTCGTCGACTTGTCACAGACTCCACGCACACGATGTTGCGAGTATTTGTCGCCCGGAAATTTCAAAAAGCGCGCAAAGGAAGTAAATATTTTCAGATTTCGTTGTGTTGTAATGGGGAAGAAAACGCAAAGCTTATTACAGATGGCGCTTTAGCCGTTTGGCTCACAACAAGCAACCTATAACTTCAGTGCTACTTTCTAAACCTACGTTCTGAGAGCAACTTTTTACCTTGACGTTTAAATTTTGACATAAAATGTGTGACATTGATGTCAAATTTGACATTCGCTGCACCTGGAGCGTAGGTTTGGAACGCAGTCCAAGTATTCCCTGTGACTGACAGCTGATTTGTTGTTATGGTCCATTCGGCACTTTCGCCTCTGCCAAGATAAATTGACATTTTTCTCCCCCTCTAACAAGTAGTTTAAGAAAAAGAAAAGAAGTTTTAAAACATAATACTGGGTCCACGTGAGGAGTTGGTTAGCGTGTTCGGCTGCGGTCGTTGAAGTTAGCAACTTTTGCAGAGGTCGGTCATTGGATGGGTGACCAAAAATCTTTTATCTCGAGTTCCTCCGTGCTTCGGAAGGCAAGTTAAGCCGTTGGTCCCGGCTGCATCTGCAGTCGTTATCACTTGCACTGGGCCATCCATAGGGAAGGCCTGTGAAGGGGTAATTAATAGGCTGCTGATGATGTTGACTTTTATTCCGTCCTGTGGGTTACTCCATGCATTTGTAAGCGATCTATTTTGGCAACATACAAGGCCACGGACAAAAGACGTCTGCGCAGGCTTTAATCGCGCAATCACATATGGTCGTTAGCCCGAATACGATTGTTCATAGACTTCGGAGAAACCACTAAGTGTAAATGAACGGAGTCGAGTACGCCTGTATTCGGACACTTTTCGGGTTTGGTTCCCCGACGCCGTCTTCCAGTCCGTGTTCGAGTAAAAACAATGTAAATATTGCATCGCGACCAAGTGTAAATGCGCCTTTAGGTTACCTCCGTGGAGTGTTAGTATTTATTTATTATTCCACATTTCATGTGTCTATTTTTACAGTCGGACTTTAAAAGACTTATTAACAAGGCTGTGCTTTTCACAAGTAAATCGCAGTTCAAACCCAACTCTTGTGGTCAGGTTCTAAATGGTACAGAATTATTTAGTCAAAATAGTTTTTATACAATTAAAATATCAATCATATAGACCAGCCCCTCTAGCATGACCACCGAAACGGGATATGATAAAGCTATATATCGATATTAACTGTCACAATACATTGGAGTTTGATAGTAGTGTGACAGTTAATGCTGATATACCGCTTTATCATATCCCGTTTCGGTGGTAATGCTAGAGGGGCAGAGGCCGTATTTTGGACTAGATGGCAGGCAAATAATGCGTAAGCAGTACACCTGCTGCTTCATCGTGTGGCTCGCTCTAACAATATAAAAGTGCCATGCGCTGAGAGCTCTTAATACGGCCTCAGATCTCGTATATATTATTAGGGGCAACGGATTAGAAATGATATGGGAGCGTTTCTCTAACAAAGGCCGCTGAAACATGGTTCCAAACTCATTCAACTAAGCTTTAATACTACCGCGACAGGCACACAGACAAAACAAAATACTTTGACAAATCAAATATTTTGCAAACGAATTCTGCTATCCATTTATTGGGTAAGACCTTGCAGGCCTGCTTGCTTCTTCAGGCCTCTTTTAAAGGATCCCAGGTTGTAAGAAGGAGGGAGCACGTGAACAGGCAGAGCATTCCATTTACGGATAGTGCGACAAAGAAAAGAGTCACCAAATTTCTTTGTACGCGTTGGAATTGTGGCCACAGTTAGACGGATAATGTTGAACGGAAATCTCAACGAATCCTATGATCAGCTGTTTGCGCTGCAGGCCAATTATGCTCGCTATTTGTGATATTGTTTTGATGTCTATTTCACATTACGTATTATGCTCTCCGAAAAATGCGATATCAAAATGACATCAACTTATGCTATGATGATGATCAACTCTATAAAATGATATCAACTTATATGCGTATTACGTTCAACTTTTTGACTTAAAATAGTATCGCTTAAACGTCAAAAATGTGATACAGGATATAATATTGATATGATCTTGATGTGACATAGGAATGTTTCATAATACCATCTAAAAACAATTTCAACTTGGCATCAACATCATATTGACATCACATTACAATTTTATTACTGAAGCATAATTGACCCGCAGTTCGTATTCCATATTATTTCTAATTCGTTGATAACGGGTTATAAAAAGAGCTATAGCATAATAATCTAAATATCTACATCAAAATCTTTATACAAATAGGCAAATTGTAAAATTTGAAACCATTTACAAAGGTGATATGAAAAGAGTTTATGCTTTATATAATATAGTATATGAAAACAGCAGTATTGTTAATTATGAACAAAGTGATCTCATTACATTTTGTAGATGTTTGAGTCTCACCATGTGAATGTTTGTAATTTACAGTCATTTGCTTCCTTGTACATAGTGAAGATTAGAGGATAGTTTATCGTTTGCCTGTATTGTTCGTTTAATGAAATTATTTGCCAATTTTGCCGTGAGATATATATTAATTTTTGTCAGTACATTTAAATACAAATAGACATCTAAATTGATACATGGAGTGAAGTGACAAAATAAACGATATTGTTAAAACTACCTAAACCTCCTTATTACAAAATGTTGAATTTCTATTTCTATTTTTCATCTAAAAAAGAGAAAGCGTTTGGTTGACCCTTCAACATTGAGCTATTATGCGCCGTTCTGTGCTATATTTTATTAAGTAATCTGACTTCTCTTTAAGTTGTAATGTGGGAAATAAAGCATACATGTCGCGTTTTGTATGCGGCCGCTGAAAGAAGACTAGTCGCGCCAGTTCTTAAAATTAATAGCATAAATGGGGGTGATGGCGGGGTACAGTAAACGAAATTCTATAGTCAGTCAGTTAGATGATCAAAAAATAATGGACACGTATTTTTTCTTTGGGCAATCAACCAAAAAATGACGAAGTTATAGCGCGTCAAAGTTTGGGAGTAGGGGCTCGTGACGTCACTTTTTAGTGAATTTTCACTTAAAAGTGTACCAAAACGTGACGTCATGCGACTTTTGAAATCAATATATCTCTGCAATGTTTATATGTGTGAAATGTGAAAAAAGAAAAAAATACGTGTCCAATACTTTTTGATAATCTACTTGACAAAAGAAGAAAAAAAAATAGTCATCATCTCTATTCTTTCGATCCAGTGAAAAAAGATGTCCGAAAATATATTCTATTATCTCTAGATAAGGAACTGATAAGATTTGACTTTCAGCGGCCTTAGTGTTTGTTGCTTCATTAGCATAGCTCCGTGCAGCTCAACTTCCCTCTATTATATTATAACGGTGTTCTTTTAGAGGGAAATATCAA